CAATTATGGTGCTATTTAAGAACAAATTGAAAGTACAAAGGTGCCTGGCTTTGAATGACGTGGCAGCCGATGTTATACAAATTGGTGTGAAAAATCTATCTATCTATCTATCTATCTATCTATCTATCTATCTATCTATCTATCTATCTATCTATCTATCTATCTATCTATCTATCTATCTATCTATCTATCTATCTATCTATCTATCTATCTATCTATCTATCTATCTATCTATTTATCTATCTATCTATCTATCTATCTATCTATCTACCTACCTATTTATATATCTATATATCTAGAAAAGAGTTATGTTTGGTCGTAATCGATAAACTTAGGAACGGTACCTGATAGGACCAAATTTCAAATATATATATGTTTCAGGAATCGTGAAGTGTCCCTGTAAAGTTTTAAATTATATACAGCTGTGGTCAGCTAATTTTAAACGCTCTCGTTATATTACTGCTTGACGTGATTTGTATAAAATTATGAAAATATTACGTTAGATTTTTTGTTCGAAACACATGTATTTTATAAATTGATGTTGTTATAATAAAATGGAATGCATTTTGTTGTGGAACATTTCTTATTTACTTTTCAATTTTCAATTTTGGTGAAAATCGCCCAAAGCTAAATCAAAGAAATTGCGACAACTAATTGGAAACGGCCATATTTTATTAAAATTTTTTTAAAGTTAAATCTAATTTTGATAAAAAATGTAATTGCATTTGGGTATATATTGTTTCTAATTTATAAGAAATTTTACATCATTATTTTTAGGCTAAGAATGAAAATAGGCCAAAGAAATTCTCTTTCCTTGGGTAGATCTATTTTTGAACATCATAAAGCTTGTAAATCTTAAAAGGATATAGGAGAAGAGCCCTATTGTTCAAAAAAATATATTTTTAATCGATTATAGCATTTTAAGAAATATGACACTAATACTAACGCTCCACGTGAAAAATTTTCCGAAAAAATATCAGCCCATCCCAAACCGGATAATAAGACAAATCTCTAAAGCTGGCCCAAAGGAATCATCCACGGGCATCCAGCGGTAAATTTGAGAAAAATTAGATATAACGTTATCTAAGCCAACTATTTCGCGATTTTTGACGGAATCGGGGCATCTTGAGAAAGGGCGGAAGAAACCTTTTCCAACTAAAATTCAAAGAATTTGCAATATCTCTTGTATATGAAATATCGTGTTGAATTGACCTGATCTTATCAAAATTAGACGGTTAATCAGTGGAATTATTTACTTCGGAGCTTTGAAACAGAGATTAATCGTATTATACCTCAATATACAAGGTACAATAAATGGTAAAAGGTGTGGCAGATTTTCGAATGAGATATGGCAAATTCTTTAAACTTTAGCTGCTAAAGGTTTCCTTCGCGATTCTCTTTCAATATGCCCCGATTCCACCAAACATCGTGAAATAGTTGGCTAAGATAACGTTATATCTAATTTTTCTCAAATTTACCGCTGGATGCCCGTGGATGATTCCTTTGGGCCAGCTTTAGAGATTCGTATTATCATCCGGTTTGGGGGTGGGCTGATGTTTTTCTGGAAAATTTTTGACGTAGAGCGTTAGTATCAGTGTCATATTTCTTAAAATGCTATAAACGATCAAAAATATATGTTTTTGAACAAAAGGGCTGTTCTCCTATATCTTTTTACGATTTACAAGCTTTATGAAGTTCAAAAATGGATCTACCCAGGGAAGGAATATTTTTTTGTTCAATTTTCATTATTAGTCCTAAAAATAATGATGTAAAATTTCTTATAAATTAAATTAATAATAATATTTACCAAAGTACAATTAAATTTTTTATCAAAATTAGATTTAACTTAAAAAAAAGTTTAATAAAAAATGGTCGTTTCCAATTAGTTGTCGCAATTTCTTTGATGTATCTTTGGGCGATTTTCACCAAATTCAAAATTGAAAAGGAATTAAGAAATGTTCCACAACAAAATGCATTTCATTTTATTATAACAACATCAATTTATAAAATACATGAGTTTCGAACTGAAAATCTAACATAATATTTTCATAATATTATACAAATCATGTCAAGCTGTAATATAAAGAGAGCGTTTCCAATTAGCTGACCACAGCTGTATATGTACATTCATATCCTTGCAAAGAATGGTTTAAGTTTTTTTGGGCATTTCGACCGAAAAATAATCAATTATTGGGCTAGTTTAATCGGCTTTAAAATTAAAACTATAATATTTTATTGAAAAAACCTAAAATTGATTACAACGGATAATTTTCTCTTGGTGGCCGGTATTTACCGGCCAAGCTGAATCTAAATACTCACTGTATAAATTCTAAATCTAACCATTTCAAAAAATAATTTTATTTTGATTCGAATTTAACTTAATACTTAGCACTTACCCACTGATGGTATGTTTATACATAAAGCATTTGATAATTTCAAATAAGTTCTTCCAAGCTCATATGAACAAATTTGCTGTACATCACTAATATCAATCAATAAATCTAAAGAAACAATACAAAATGTAAATTAAAATATTGCATTAAAAATATAAATAGTTTTTATAATTAACTTACGCGATGTCCCCTCTGTACGGCATGTAATATAAACGCATGCAGCATAAATATGTGTACTTTTACGACCACGGGTCAAATGACGCATTAGGGCCATTTTAAAGAAATTCAATGCAGTATCGATATAATGCTGGGTCAACTGCAATTGCTGGCACAAATGTGTTATTTCTTTTTTGGCCTTTTTCAGAGTAACCTCACGCGATTCAGTACCAGAACCAACTTGAAATTTGCCATAGCCATAATTGGTGGCACCACCTGATGATTCAGCGGAAACAAATTGACCGATAGCAGCTGCACCATGGCCTACTTCTTCAAATTGTATTTCAGATACAATTAACGAATCCTCGAGTACCGAACCACAGTTGGTGCAAACTATAGTATTTGTATATGGATTTTTATTGACAAGGATAAAAAATAAACACTTCTTTTTTGCATAAATTACCTCGATCACCACGTGCATTATCTTCTTCAATGTCCGTAGAACCACAATTTCGGCATTTTATACCGGACGACATTTTTAAGTAGATTTATATCTATTAGATATTTTAAAATTACTTTAATAAATATTTGTTTAAACTTAAAGTTTTTGAATTGAATATCTTAAAAATTTCGTTTACTACACACGGTTAAAAAATCCACACACTGCACCACAAAAGAGAATGTAAAAACATATGGCTGTCATTCACAATGTAAACAATAATCCGGCGATTTTCAGCTGTTTTTTGTGTTTTTGTTTTTCCAACAAGCAGAGTTGTATTTTAATTTGCCAAATATTAATTCACCACTCACCACACATTGTGATGTGAAAATTTATAACCGTTAATTTTGAAATTGTTCTCTTTTTTTAATACGATTGAGAACAATTTCCAACTTAATGTAAATGGTTTAATGACAGATTAATGAATCAATGCTATTTGTAATTTTTATCAATTATTAATTCATTAATCATTTATTTAAATCCCTCAGTTTGAATATTTTTATAGCCAAAATAAAAAATGGTGGTATATGATTCTGTCATGCCGTCTGTAATACATTGTGTTTTTATACCCTACAACACTTTAGTGGGGATGTATATTGGGTTTGTGCTGATCTTTGTAACACGCAAAAATATTCGTCCTATACCCACCTTAAAGTATACAAATCGGCTTGATATCATTTCTAAGCTGAGTTGATTAAGTAATTTTCAATATAATTCCATGAAATTGGTACACGCGCTTTTTGTCCTATTGAAAATATTACCTATTTTCAATATCGGCCCATTATTCACCTAACCCCCGTACAACAGAACCCCACGAAAAGGGCATTTGAACACAAAATTTTGTTAAATATACCTGTATCTCGATAAAAATCAGCACAAATAAGTTTTATACAAGCATTGATGACCTTACCAAATTTCATAAAGATCGGGCCTTATTTGACCCTAGCTCCCATACAAATTCCCATTCAGAAAATGACTTGAATGTCCAAAATTCATATATAAATACTAATATATAACAAATAAATATTATATAAATCTATTCTGAAAATGTTATCGGGATCGGTCCATATTTGCCAAAGCCCCATATAAAAATACATACATTTCACCATACAGTCGGCCACGCCTGACTTTTGATTTGTTCAGAAATCATTATAAATTTTTGCTCAAATTGGTCTTGTGTACCCAAAAATTATACCCTAAAGTAAATTTAAAAAAATAGTTCTCTGTTAAGTGAGGGTTTCGACTTTTTTCGAATTTTGTCGGCCTGTGTTATTCAACAATTAAAATTCGAAATTGAAACATGATTTCGACTTTTTTTGTTATAAAAATCACTTTTATTTAAAAATTTTATGTTATATTTATTACGATTTCTTTAAAATTAATGTTTTTAATATTATAGCAATTGATTCCTTTTAATTAAGATGTGCAAGACAAATGAAATACAGATTTGCAAAAAAGAGGTTATGTAAAAAAGGTTTATCGTAAAAAATTATAAATTGACACATATTTATTTTAATAAATTTTAAATTTAAACAAAACTCAATTTTTCGAGTTTTATATTTATATTAAAAAAGGCTTACAATTAAAGAATTATTTTGAAATTCTTTAAAAATAAAACTTTTTTCCTCTTACAAAAGTTTGAAACTATTTGTAATTGCATGTCTACCTTAAAAGACATGTAAAAAGAAATAGTTCATAGCAAAAAAAATGTTGTAGACAATGAGCTCTGGTTGTTAGCAATTTCTTTTAACGTCAAGAAATTGAAACATTTTTTTAAATAATTACTTATTAACTAAATTATAAAAAATGCTGTAAATACATTTTTATACAATGTACTTTGATTTTTTCATAAAATTTCCGTTCAAAGTTTAGATTAGAGCTCTCTTAATTACAGACGACATAAAATAACACATTTTAATTGAAGGGGGAAGGGACAGGGAAGGTATAGGGGGATATGTAAGATTTTGATGATTATACATTAAAAATTAACTCTAAGTGTTATACAAATTAAAATGGTTTACATAACAATACATCTTTTATTTTTGGCCATCGGATCTCCGACAACAGGCTGCAAAGGAGTCTCTGTGATTTTGATGTCCGACTGTTCGCATGATTGTTCCATACCGCAGGTTTTCAACGAAACATCTGTAAATTCTTTGCCTTCAGAATCTCCTTGAGCAGATGTCGGTGTTTCAGTACCTGTCTTGAGTTTTGTCTCCTTGGCTTCCTCACCCAAAGTTGCGTTATTATCATCATTAACTGTTGTATTGGTTTCTGTAGTTTCTTTATCTGACTTGCCAATTTCTTCATGAACAGATACACCAGATACATTTTGAACTTCGATTTCATCCTCTGCTGCGTTAAGTTTTTCTTGTAACTTAACGGGAGTACTGCTTTGTAATGTGGCCTTGGAGAAACGATTGCGTAACAGTGAAAGAGGCGAAGAGACAGCACTGAAAAAGCCATGCATGTCTAGGCGTGCTCTCTTGGGTGGTGAAATCTCCATATCAGTTTGCAATTCGCCAATGGCTGATTGAGAATGTTGTGGTGGTGTACGATCACGTTTGCGTCCACGGCCAAAGAAAGAGAATGACAAATTATTGGGCACTTCAGAACCGACTGTAACATTCATACTGGTATTTGTGACATCCAATTCGGTATTGATACGTCTATAAGATTCACGAAATTGTGGATTGCATTGAAATTTAGAAGGTGTATAATCCGAAATAGGGCGTATACTCTTACGTCCCGAAATTTGTGAAAATGCTCGAGGGCGTTCAGGCGAAATACCAGATTGTATAGCAAGTTGCACTTCGGATTTTGGAGCAGCTGTGTTACGCTTTGGCAAAAGCGCTTTGCCGGGAGTTGATGTAGCCGAAGGAGCAATATTGATATGGGCCACATCTTGTGTTTCCAATGATTTTACGGGTGAACTTTCTATAGCCAAAGGTTCCATTTCAATGTCATCATTATCATCTATAGTTGTGGTTACTTCCCGTTTAGTGATGGGAGTAGTTTTCACTGAATTTTTAGATGGCGTCGACTTCTGTGGAGTCTTTTCGGTGGCTTTTGTTGGAGTTTTATTGACAGGAGTCGAAGTTTTGTTGGCCTTAGTGTTGGTTTTAGGTGTGACCGGTGGAGATTTTTGCTGTGATGGTGTTTGTTCATCTACAACCTCCATATTTTCAACAATTTCCTTAGGTTTTTGATCGGCATTTTTAACTTGGTTTTCATCTTTTGATTTTTTATCATCATATTTAATTTGTTGTGGTTCGACTTTCTCATTGATTTCAGCAACCGCTTCCTTTTTATCCTCCTTGTCTTCCTTCACCTCCTTAGGCTGTTTTTCTTCTCTTTTATTGTCAGATTTTTCTTGTTCCTGTTTTTTATCCTCTTCTACTTTATTCTCCTTTATTTTAGTGTCTACTTTTTCGATTTTTTCCACTTTATCCTGTTGTTTTTCCAATTTATCTGGTTTATTCAGCTTTTCCGCCTTTTCTTTTTTCTCTTTTTCATTTAATTTGTTTTCATTGCCATTTTGCTGTTTATCCTTATTCTGTTGTTGTTTGCTTTCATTAGCCTGCTGTTTATTACTGTTTACACCATTCTGATTTTTTTCATTCGATTTTTTATTATTTTCATTTAGTTGCTGTTGTTTTTTATCAGCCTGTTGTTGTTTTTTATTTGGATTTTCTTTAGTATCTGCATTATTAACTGTCTGCTGTTGTTGCTCAGACTTCGTATGTTGCAATTTATTGTCTTGCTTATTGGTATTGGATGAAGTGTGACAATTGGCATTGTTGCCAGCAGCATTACTGCCACCTTTATTTTGATGGGGTTTAGTGACGGTCCCACTCAATGACAATGGTGTACGACGACCCGGCTGTGTTGAAGTCTTGGCTGACATTTTTCAAAAGGAGAACTTATTAACGTAGGTTTTCTCTGAAGAAGGTTTTCTCTGGAAGATCGAAGCTATAAAGATATAAAATGTAAAAATCATAAATTTTTATAATTTTACAAATCTGTAGAAAATTACATCAAAATTCACTTTCCATTTTTAATATCACATAACTCCTAACAATTTTGTAAATATGTACAGTGTCTCTCATAAGTATTCGAGTTTAATGTATTATGAAAACAGAACAGACATCATTTTATAATAGATTTTGTGGGAAAAATAAATAAATAAATTTATTATGTTGTCCAGACAGTCCTTAAATTTTATACCACATTTTAAAAATTAAAAAAAAAAATAATTTACATAAACTAATTTAACTTTTTTTTAAAAAAGTGCAAAAAATAGCTTCACAAAAATATTCGAATTTTTTGTATAAATCATATTTAGATTAGCATTATGAAGTAAAAATAAATAATTAAAATGAAATTAATGTTTTGTATAATAGCCTTTGTTTTTAAAAACAACTTCCAAGCGTCGTGGGACCGTTTCTACCAATTTATGGAATAGTTCTGGCGTTATTATGTCCCATTCTTCATGCAAAGCAACCCTATAGTGGTTTTAGAGGATAATGAGTGATTTAAAAGTTGTTCTTGTAAATATAACCACAAATTTTCAATGGAGTTTAAGTCCAGACATTAATTCCATTGAAAATTTGGTGAAAGAAGATACTTAGTGTCGTTAATGATCAACATTTTCACGTACCAGGTCGTGTATTTTGGATCGTTTTTCTGTTGAAAAATAAATTGAATGGGTTTTAGCCCCATTTTGGTGGTACTAGCATGCAAATTCTGCTCTAAAATTGACAAGTGAACCTTCTAGTCTATAATTACAATAATAAATTTTAGCAGTCGAACACCGTAGACGGACACAGAACCCCAAAATATGGCAGAGCAACTTGGGTCCTTTACAGTTGGCTTTAAGTTAGATAATTCCAAGGCATCTACAAGCTTTCGCCATATCATTTGACGACCATCTGAGCCAAAAATATTATATTTGTTCTAATCGTCCAAGATAACCTCCTTCCAGGATCCAATATTCTTACTTATGAGTCTATTTGCGGAGTCAAGACACTTAACATCGATTAACTTCGATATGAGCGGTTTCCACCTTGGTACTTGACCATGCAAATTATTGCTCCCTAGTACTTTGCGCACAATTTCGACACTAATTTTTATTCACAGGTCTGTCATGAGTTCGTTGTTAATTTTTGGAGCTGAGAGATGAAGGTTCCTTCGGTATTTCCTCAGTATTTCTCTGTCGTCCTGTATTGACAGCAGTTTTGGACGACTTGATAATGGTAAATACTCGATGGAATTCTTTGTTCCATGCGTGTAATGACAAAATATATTGTCGGTGGGAATCTATCAAACAATTCCTATATGTATTTAATTGATCGGCCTTGATTATACAGATATAAATTAATTTTTTAATTTGAATTGATCAACTCTTTTTCTTTGAACATTTTAAGCGCTTACACAGGAAGGATTTAAAAAATAATTATGCAAATTTCCAAAAAATATAATGTTAAATATTCCATATAACCACTACCTGCATAATGGGTTAATTAATGGACAATAAAACACGTGTTCAAGGATTCTAAAAAAGTTCTTAGAAAAAATTCGAATATTTTTGCGCAGTACCTGAAATGACCCTTTTTGGGTTTTTTCCCATTTTCTTGGAAACCATTAATGAGTTTTTATTACTTTTTTTCTTGTATTTCGTAGAAATAATATAAATTAATAAAATTTCATCAAAAAAATTTAAATACTATTATTATTTTTAAAGTAGCATCATACAATAACACAGTAATTCATAAAAAATAATAAATTCGAATATTTATGTGAGACACTGTATGTATGTACAGTTGTATGTACTTTCAAATAAAAAAGCATGCAGATAACAAAATAAATAATGCATGTCTAACACTTATCATGTATCACGTTAAATCATTGTTACACACATACAAAAATGCATTTTGTAGTTGTAAAAATAAACTTTTATTGTATGTAGAACGCAATTGACATTTTCGTAAAATGAACAAATAACCACAACATATCAAATACATTTGTATGTTTGTAATCTAAGATCTATTCAAGAGGCAAATCAAAATAAAAAATGCAACTTAAATAATTTTGTAAATCAATTATATCTTCTAACTTTACCAAAAACTTACAGCTTTTTTAATATTTCATTTAATATTGTTAATATGTTTCAACTGTTAAACAGTTTTTTTTAAAACGTTTGTGTTAAACACTTCCGATTTTATAAATCAAAAAATAGATTTAAACTCGTTGTTACTTTAAACGGGACTAAAGTACTACTGTTGCAGTATCCTTTGATGCTTAGCTCCTTTATAAGTGAAATTTGCCTATCTTTGATGCAGGTAGAACTTTTACCTGCACTTATGCTTTCCTAGTAAGAGGTGTTAAGACATAATCTTAGAATTTTAGTTAAATCTTCGTATTATTTAATACTAACTAAATTTCTAATACCTAGAATTTTTTTATAAATCGTTTGTATTATATTTAAAGTCATTCTCATTTATTGCTTTTAAGCTAAAAATGTTTATGACTTCCATAATATAAAGGTGCTGTAATTTATGCAGAACTTGTAAATAGATACATACATACATGTATGTACATATGTAGTTTATAGAGTGCAATTTGCAGTATTTATATGAATACATGTATAATAAAAAATATAATGATCAGTGAGATTAATTTCATAAATGTAAAATAATGAAATTAATCTGATCATTCGGTTTTTGGTACATATAATTATAGTTTTTTATATTTGTTCTTTGAATTCTTTTTTATTTTTCTTTATTTAAAGGAAAAATAGTGGTATAGATCGCGAGATTGAATAAAATGTATCAAAGGATATTTGTATATAAAAATAAGCAAAAAATTCTATTTTAAGCCGTATTGTTCTGAAAACACAATAAATGCCACCCAAAACTAGTCATGTTTAACGAAATGCACATAAAGTTCATATTGCTACCAACAAAATGAAAACAAAATAGAACACAATGAAAAATGTTGTTGGATGCACTTGCTTGCAGTGCCAATGTTTGTATTTCTGTATCTATTTTTATGCAATGGGTCTATTTCGTTTTATGTACATATGTACAATGTTTTTGTTTTAAATGCAAACATTTTGATTTGATGATATTGCAAAATATGTGTAAATATTTGGTCACTTAATTAGCACAGTATTTGATTATTTATTCTTTACAATACTTATATGTTGAAATAGTAATCGAAAATTATTAATGTGTATCGAAAACTGTTGTAATGAAATTCCCCAAGTAGGTTGAAAAATAAGATTTTTCTACTTTAGTGTATAACACTGTATATGAAAAACTTGTTTTATAATTTTGCATCTTAGGTGTGTGTATTTGCAACAAATTGTTGCAAAGTTAAAAGCTTTCACCTCAACTTAAAAATTCATACTTTCTCTTTATTTAAATGGCAACAAGCATTTAGTTTATAAAAAAACGAACAAAACTCTCCCGTATTTTTACAAAATGCATTTAGTTTTTTTTTTATATTTTACTATACAATTCAAAAACGGAAATGTTTAAAATTTAAACTTTAAATACATCGTATTATTTTATCAAACAAAATACATTTTTACTATAGGGGAACCATTGATGCATAGCAAACATCAATATTATGTATTATTTGTTTATATTATGTACAATGTTTACACGAAATTAGTGTAAATGTAAATGTGTAATAATAAATGTGTAATTCATTTTAAATTTCATTTTTTTTTTCATTATAAATTGATAAAAATCTAAATTTCGCTTTTAATTAAATACAATGTACATACTATCTATGTATAAATGTACATTAGACGGACACTTTTGTATGGAAGGTAAAATAGTGATTTCGTTACTCATCTCCTTGATTTGATTTCTGAGGATATTCCTAAAATATTAATAAAACGGTCGAGCTAACGGGTAACATTATATGACATTGGAAGATATTATATAACACAATCACTATTTGTGTGAGTCAGTCTAATATTCATACTTATTTATTCATTTATATGTATCTACAGAAAGCCTCCAGTAAACATTTGTTAAATTGTCATAGCAATAACACTACTGACGGTTAGTCGGTCTTCCAACGATGCAACTGTCTGTCTAGCCGTTAGCTTCCCATTTAAATTTTGTTTATTTTTTCTTTTAATATGCACAAAATGCTCAAGTAAGCCAATCCCTTTATGTAATTATGAAAAATTCTTTGTTTTTATTTTATATTATTTTTCAGAATGTTTTCTTATTTTGCTTCGTCTTACATATACTTAAACACTTATTAGTAGGCACAGATACAAATTTAAAATTGCAAAAAAACGTATACAGTCAAGGCCAGGAACATTAGGAAATGTGTATGAGCATTTTAGTAGTAATGACAAAATTTTTTAACGTTCAAAAGATTTTTATTTAAATTAAATTATTTAAAAAATATTTTTACATACCACAAATTTTGTGTGGACATGTTAATTTTTATAAACATTTTATAAAATAAAAATTTGATAATAAATAGGTATGTGGAGAAGTCTATTACAAAGTAATAAATTAAATAAAAATAATAGAACTGATCTTATGTGTATTACGAAGTTCAAATTAGACGATTACGCGTTATATTCTATATCTTGATATAAAATATTTGATTTGAAATATTTGATTAGTACTGAATTATATTTATTTATATTACTACTTATTGATCTCAGGTTTTTATTATTACTATGTAATATTGATATTTTGGCCGTAAAGGCTTAATATTAAAAAATAAATGAATAAAATATTTGGTGATACATAATCTAATGTTGGTATTGGGTGTAAAATTAAAAAATATGGCCTTTTGAAAAAAAGGTCAATGTGAAACATTAGTACAATAGGTAATAATTTTTTCAATGTACAGAACTATTTTTTAGGACAAGGACGAATAGTATCTTCTGTTGTGAAGTGAAGCGTACGTCATTGAATAACAAGAACTGGACAGGATCTGAACTATTGGGTGGTAGAGGCAAAACTTTCAAAATAGGAATTACATTAGGTCATAACTTTTTTTCATATTTTTGCAAATATCAAAATATCCATATCCGAATAGGCTACTAATAACTATGGAGAAAAAATATTTTTTTATTTCGCTGTTGAAGAAGTTCACAAATCGCGTTAAAGTTCAAAATTTCCTTTTATATATAATTTTCGCGAAAATCGTAAATGGTCACCGATTTTTATCATTATACAACGTTATTCAAACCCGAATTTAAACCTTCAGTCTTTCTCATTTTGGATAGAAAGAAATTCCATTTTATATTTTTTGACAGATTTTAAAGAATGGATTGTGTGCCTGAGTTTTAAAATAGTTTTTTAACATTCATGATAAATAAAATCTTGTTATAATCTTCTAATAAGTTTACTTTTTACGGAATTTTCATTAAAAAATAATCCTGTTTTTGATTTTATATTTTTTACACAATATTCTTACTTTTATTTTTTTCGGACTGTTCATTTATTTGTATAAGCATACAAAAAAATTTAAATCGTTTGATCGTTTTTAGAAAATTTTCAAAGATAAACAACTTTTCAATGTAATCATTATCCATGCCAAACACTGTACCCATGCTAAGCGATAAACGAAGGAATAACATTGTTTATATGAATGTATGTGTGATATTATTTATTTTCAAAAATGGCGGTCGTTGGCTTTTGTATTTGTATGCAAGAGTCAATCATAAAAGAAAAAATAAGCATTTAATAAAATATATTTTATGTAATATGCGCAATTTATAATTGCATTTTATTTAAAAATAAACCGCTAAAACACTACCACCAATAACTTATTTAAAATTTCTGTATAACAATTCCTACCCCAATAATAATACCAATTGCAGTTGGAAAAACCGACGCCAAACGCCGCGAACATAAATGAGAAATTTTACACAATATTTTCTTTAATTAAAAATGTTTTTATCTTTTAATAACTAGCACCAACCTTTTAAATTATAGTTTGTTTCTTTAAATTTTTTGTGGAAAACAATATTTGTTTAATTCAAATTAATTAAATTTATTATTATTGCAGACACAATTACAATTGCAAACACACACGAAACGAATAGAGCACAACAAAAAAGTAACGAATAGAGACGAATGCAGAGGTCCAATTCGAGTGCCTCAAAGGCGGCAAGGCGCCGCCGTCGCTATATTTTAGATTTTCAGCCGTCATCCATGATAACAGCTTTTCAGCTATTATTTAGCCGCCGTATTTATATTTTATGGTTAATTAAAATTTTTAATTCTGGTTTAATATAAATATAAAGTCAAAGAAAAAAATTGTATGAATATACAAAATTAAATTTTAAATTGTCAGTTAATATTATACTATCGCTCATTTGCTACTTCGTTTAATACTTTAATACTATTTTTTAAATAACTTCAAGAATAAACTGGATATATGTAAAATAAGTGTTAATGTGTTCGCTTTTAATGCATAATGTTTTAAATGAAAATTAATTCAAACATAATAATGTAATTCAAAAACTCATCATGTTTGGACAATTGAATTGTGCAGATTTTCAATAGTATATCGTCGAAACGATTTAAGTTTTTGGATATTTTAAAAATGTACTTTCATTCAGATTTTCCTATTTCAAAGGAAAATTTACTTATAAACGAAATTAAGTTTGAAATACGACGATGAAAGGCCATGCAGGGGTTCCATTATGGTAACTTGCCGAAAACGTAATGTAAGTCCGCAAAACTTCTTTAAAAAAAATAAAAGAAAGTGGTTGAACCTTATCATTAAATTCAATCTATTCTAAATAATTTTTTTGAAAAAATCTTTATAACGATATATAAAAAATGTTCATGATATCAAACAGTAATATGTTTAGATACAAAACGTTTGTATTAAACAACGTCGACCGTATTATGTGAATTCTGGGGGTAAAGCGTTTTTACACTATTTACAGGGTTGCATTTTTAAAGCAATGGTTTTCAAACTTATGCTATGAATCATGCAAAATGTCAAATAAGAATATAACAGAGTTGTTTAAACTAATTTTATATTTTCTAGTATTCGTGTGGGATAAGTTCTTAATAAAATAGATTTTTTAACAAATATCAAAATAAAATATAGTTATTAAGGTAAATTTATATTTGTTTCAATAGTTGATTGACTATTTTAGCATTAACAAATTAAATTAATTCATATTTTCCTTAATTTCATTAAATTTCTCTTCAAAACATTGGCACCTGCATTTTTGGGAAAAAATTGCCTCGCCTTCTTCATAAATGACGTCTTACGACTCTACTTTTTTACAAATTTACCGGGTGGTAAATATACATAAACGTCTGCTGCTGTTGCCACTACTACAACTACCACTCATGTAATTGTTGTTGTTGGTAATTATTAAAAACCGGGTTAAATCTTTCTATGACTACTACTTATGTGTTTGTTTGGGCGTTATGTTGCTGCTGCTGCATGTTTTTTATGTCGTCTGTCTCATTTCTAAATTTGTTTACCGTTCCATCTAACAGTCATTTTAATCAACAACCTACGCACTTTTGTCAATTTCTGTCTCAAAATCAAAAAAGAAAAATTAATTACAAAAGTATACAAAAACAATCAACAACAGCGATATAATGGCCAACATTTTGGAAAATCAATTGGCTGGTCTAACGCAAGTTATTGAAAAACAATTGGATGAACAATTGGAACGTTTCGATAATCTAGATAAGGATGATCTTAAAACTTTAAGAGAACAACGTATCAGAGAGATGAAGGAATTGAATACAAAGAAGCAAGAATGGTTAAAGAACGTAAGTTTAATAAAACAATGAATTAAGGTTTATTATTATGGTAATTAATTCCGATTAAAACTGCATGTATTTGTGATTCATACATAGACACTGATGAGGGTTTGGGTATATTAAAATATATAGAAATTGGAAAACTATTAGACTATTATATTAATTTATAATAATTAAATTAATATTTTATGTACATATAAGCTAATATAGTGGTAAAGTTATGCTGGTATTTGCAACACCCATAAATTTTTATCTATAATGTCCGTCTGCCTCTGTTAACCTTTTCGACCCGACACTCTAATTCTAAGAATATTTTGATTTTTGTGCTTCTATTTTTAAATCTATTAAAAGTAGTTTTCCTATTTAATCTGTAAAAAATAGGGAGCTATCATAATCGAGTGGTTGAGAAGTGGGTGGTACAACAATGTACAATCCGTCCTTTACAACGTCCGTTTGCTATTCCATTCTAAAATAAAATACATTTTTAGTAATAATGGGACGAATGGTATGTATGTGACATTTGTACGCCTTCAGAGTGGTATAGATTTTGTAAAAATAGGAGTACGAACTTAAAAAATAATTTCGTCAATCTGTTCCATTCAGAGAATACTATACATATTTGGAAAAATATCGTATTATACACGAATTTTTCGTAAATATTACGAAAAAAATAGTTACAACATTTTTTTTCGTTAAGCTTGGACTATTTTCAATGTATATATTTGACTACGCAATTTAATAACCCATAAAACAATAAACTCAATAAACAATGAACAATATGTATACCTAGAGATGAATAAAAATAATAATAAATGTATCTTCTCTCTTTTCAGGGTCACGGCAATTACACAGAATTGGCCGACGAAAAGGAATTCTTTGAAGTCTCGAAAAAATCTCCCAATATTGTTTGTCATTTCTATCGGGATTGTACAGAACGTTGTCGTATTGTCGACATGCATTTGAAAATTTTGGCTGGCAAACATATTGAAGCTAAATTTTGCAAAGTAAATGCTGAAAAATCACCATTTCTTACACAACGTCTACGCATCAAAGTAATTCCCACCATAGCTTTGATTAAGGATAGTAAAACAAAGGATTTCATTGTCGGCTTTACCGACTTGGGCAATTGTGATGATTTCTCAACTGACATGCTCGAATGGAGAATAGCACAATCTGGTGCCATAGATTACAAGGGTGATCTGATGACACCGCCAGATGTTAAAAAGAAAACATATATAAATCGTCCTAGAAAGACTATACGTGGTGGTTATGATTCAGATGATTCCGATATTGATTTTGATGATTAACCTGTTTGCACACTTATTAAAATAGTTTAAAAAGAAGCTAGTGTTAGAAACTACTCATTTTATTTGTTTTCATACATTAGTCTGTTGTATTGCCTGCCTGCCTTTTCTTTTTGCTGTTTTCCCCAAGTGTCTTCTTTTTTTAAGCTCTGGTTTGAAAGTTTAATATTCAAACTTTATTTCATTAACTTAATGCTTAGAAATCAAAATGTATTCAACAAAATTTGTTTGTTTAATTGCAAGAAAAAAACCTACAACAACATGATACTCTTTTTATAATAATTTCTTACTATTAACATTCTCTTGATTTTAGACTTGAAGTATTTTTTCTTGTCTTTTTAATTAAATTAAAAAATTCCTAGTTTTATTACTACAAAAATAAGTATTGTTTATTTTTTCTTTTTTGCAAAATGTCTTTTATAAAAAGTAGCACAAAATTATAATAAAAACATTTTTAATAGGATTAAAACTAAAAAAGACAACTTTTCGTAGAATTTAGAATGAAACATATTTTCTTAATGCAAAATAAAAGTAATATACATTATAATAAGCAAGATTAGCAACATCAAATAGTTAAACGTAAACATACATAAATGTTCATATATATATATGGACTAACTAATAATATATATACAACTATTCAGAGGATTTTAATAATAAAGACATATTTTCGTATAACCATGCAAATGGGAATTGAAAATGTATGTGTGTATTCATAGACTCATCATAGTGTATGAGTTCGATTATAGCATGTCCTAATGAAATAGTAGTTATATTTTCATTTAAACAATAGTGCATACATAATTATAAAATACAAAAATTCCTATTTTTATAGTGTCAAAGAAATCAAGCAAAACATACGATATTCATTCACAAATCAAATTTGACTTAACAAACCAACAAAATCTCTATATATTTTGTCTCGTTCTCTTATTAATAAAATAAAAAAAATAATAATAATCTTAATTTATTTTTATAATTTTAAAATGTAATATTTTTTTAAATTAAAATAAAAAATGCATGTATAAGTTTTTTATGTTTAAAACAAATATTTTGTGTTTTTAAACTACTTAGAAGAACAATTTATTTCGTTTAACAGATATGCAGAATTTACAATTTTCAATTCAGAATGTAAAGTTGTACAACAAGTTCTGTCCTCATTTTATTATTAAAATATGGGGGACAGTTTCTTCTCCAAGTAGTCCGCAAGTTATAACAAATTGTATACACTCAAACCTCGTTTCATGCGATTAATTCGTTTCGCAAAAAAGTGCATAGTTCAAATTCGCACAAAACGATACACTAGCTCCATACAAAATTCACTAATTGGGTTTTAAATAAAAAAGCGCACATTTTCAAATTATTCCCTTAAAAGTCAAACTAAATCGCATATAAAAAATCAACAAAAATTTAATACTTTACTGAAACCATATAAAATAAAGGAAGCAAACAATAAAACAATACCAATTCCAAATAATGAAGAAAATATACAACATTTCTTAAAAATAAAACTTAATATTTCTTCAGTGTACAAAGGATTTGAACAATACTCTACATATCCGAACCGGAATTGATAAAAAATCAGTAGTTGTACTTTGTTGAATACTTTTTTTGGATGTATGTGGACCAAAATTTTCCACAAAATCATTTTTGCAAAGAAAAATTTTAGAATTTTGAAACCGCACTAATTTAAATAAGCATAAAACGAGGTTTGAGTGTATTAATATGTCAATAAGAAACATTGGTGATGAACATATAAATAGTATCCGATTCAGCTTAGTATTACTTCGATCCTATTCACAATCGCTGCAGCGCGCTTTTGCCTATTTGTAATTCAAAGAAAATATTTGTTCTACACCTTACCTTACCAATTGGCTTTGAATAATTATCTGAGCAAAAATAAATCATCTATGTGTAAATGTAAGTAGAGATTGGATAGAAACTTCGGATTGGTCGAATCTACATTCTCATTGGCCCTAGAACGAAGATGTACTGATCAAAATCTAATACTCAAAAATACACTTTTTAGAAAGAAATATATTTTTAAATAATATTATTATTATGGAGATCCTGCTTTGTTCCATACTATGCTTTTTGGTTCTAAAATGTCTTTTTTGACATCTTTAGACAGAAATAAAGGCACTATCTACAAAACCATGTAAGTATTAAGGTAAAAAGTCAAATTTTTATATAGGTTTCACTATTAAAAAATTTGTTTATTGAATAAAAATAAATCGCGCTGATAGAAACAAACTTTTTAATTGAAATAGCACGCTTTTAATGAATTATTGGGGGTAAGCTAGATCCTACGAGTATTGCGGCGGTTGCTAAAGCCAGCTCTCACCAAGAAATCTTTCCCAATTTCTTAAAAAAGTTTATAGTAGATTCTTATTATAAACCATATGAGAATTTACTACGAAATCATTAAACAATACAATAATACATTTCGATTTTTATTCTTTCTTACTTACTAATTTCTTTCTTCCATCCCTAATTTTTTATTTTGTGAAAATTTAAATTCATTTTCTTTTCGTGACGACAATCCATCTCTGTTGTAAGTGAAGAAAAATAATATGGTAACACACTTAAACGGCAGATAACAGAAATCAAAAACAGCTGTGACATACACAAAACAAACGAAGATAAAAAACAACAATAAATACATTTTATCCCTCCAAAAGAAACCATAAGAAAAACAAAATAATAAAAACTTTGGACCCCAATTTAAAGACCCCTCCCTCCCACATTTCAGTTAAAAAATCTAAAAAACAAGCAAAACAGCAATAGAATGTAAGTACAGTGAAAGTACATTAGTATGGTTTTGGATTGGAAATGACAGAAAAGCAGTTGGCTAGATACCAGCATAAAAGCCGGTTGCTTGGTTGGTTCATTGAGTTTTTAATTAATTCCTTCGTTTAGTCGTCCAAGAGTTGCTATTGTACATTTTGTGGATAAGAAATATAAAACAGTAAACCCTACAAGAAAAGCTTAAGTTTGATGACAAACACTATTTGCTTGTTGACTAGCTGGTTTTGTGGGCTTGCTTATGCTATGATGATGTGGATGATGAGCTCATAGCATCATAATTCCTTCTTACTTAAAAAAAAAAACAAAACAACTGTTTAGTTGTACTCATCTGTGGTAAATAAAACATGCGCACGCACGACTACAGAAAATATATAGAAAAACATCTAAAAATCTCAACGAAACAGACACAGAAACACAGTAGAAATGAAAAACTAGTTTGGAGCAAATAAACATTCAGTTTTCATGGGGAGAAAATACATTTTACGGAATTACTTGAGTTAGTTGTTCGTGGTTACGTGTTACGTTTGCATTAAACTCAATGAAAAAACGCTGGAATTGAAATTAAGCAAAGAAAATAAAAATTGTCAAGTGGTGGTGGTTTGTTAAATAAAAAGTTTTTTGCTTAATATTTTATTTTGATGACGAAGTAGTATATAAAATAAAAACCAAAAAAAAAAAAAAAAAAAAACACTGCAAATTTATGGAATAAAATTTGAAAGCTGTGATTCAATACTTTGAAACTCATAAATTATTAGAAAAAGAGATAACGAATTATTAACAAAATAAATTAAATTAAAACAAATAAGCTGGTTCTTAAAAAAATAACAAAAAAAAAGTGAAAATATAAATAATATTACAAAAAAAATCAATATTTTAGCAAAAAACTAAAAAAACAAAGTCATACATAACTAACTACAATACATACATACATACGGGGTAACAAAACACATCATATGTATATATGGATATACATACATATGTACTATACTTTAATAAATAATACTTGTGAATCAGTCAGTACATATTTTTGGGAGAATCCAACATTTTAAAGTTATTGATTTTCTCAACAAGACGACTACATATTGATGAACTATGTTTCTTTTTTTGTTAGAAATATTATCAAAATAATAAGAAAATAAGGCTTCCTCTCTTAATCTTAAGCCATTGATGACCTCTAACCCATTTTTGTAATGTACACGAGTTTACGCACACAATTAATTCACATTTAATGCTCCGTTATCTCATAAAATTCAACCAACAGCAACAACATACCCTTTGAAACCATATAGTAAACATTGCGGGTAATAAAGAAATTATAATTTGTTCTTAAATACATATAGTACTTGTACATTAGGGCCATAACTTTTTGAATATGTTTGCAAACATTAAATTGGCTCTGCTATAATATCCTAATTAGCGACTAAAAATAAAGGAAGATTATTTCTTTTTTCGCGTTGAAGTTTAAAATCTAGATTTTTAATAGAATTTTCTCAAACTTCGTTAACACAAACATAGCTATGGAAAATGTTCGCTATTTCAATAGAAAAATAAAATAAACATTTATGAGGAAGATTTTTGTTCATAAACGGCTGGAAAAAGTATTTTAGTAAATACATACAATGTGGTTTAATAGCATCAAAATTTGGTTATTACCCTATTGTACATAGTACACTGAAAGGAAAAGTAATAAAGTATGTTGATAACAAGTAGTATGAATTAAAACAAATTATAAAGTCTATCCCGACAATACATCTACAAAAAGATTGTGTTGAATTTATTCTCGATATTGATAACATGGTGTGAGCAATGTCGAGTATTTAAAAATTTTTAATATAATTCAAATAACGGGACTTTAATTGTTGTCGGTTTTAAAAATTTGTATCTGAAATTTCTTTAATCCGATTTTATTTTTTAGAAAATTGTTCAAAGTCTCTTTTACTTTCTAAAAAGTATACATACATATGTACCTATCCCTAGTGTGCATAATTTTTAAGAAGTGTAAAAAATCGGATTAAAGAAATTTGGGATAAACATTTTTATATCCGGTAAAAATTAACAATCCACATTTAAAATTCTAAATAGTGATTTAATCTTGGTCATGGTGTTGAGTCATTTTTTGCTGTCATACAATGTAACCGATTATGGGTCGATAAGAAATTGCTTTAAATTAAATCGATTATATATGTAACCGATTAAGGACCGATCAGTTTTATTATGTGTTTGTCCTTAAACTTTACATCCTCCACAAATTTTATTATCTAAAAGTTTTCTATACATTTTGGTAAAATAAGTTAAGATAGTTTTCAAGAAATATGTATAAGTTTTGACAAAACAGTTCCAAAGTTAATTTAGAATATAATATGAAGTTTCATCAGTTTATATTATTATTTTATTATAAATAAATATTGAAATCTTCTGCAACATTTTTAAAAATCATCTGAAACAATACAATTATATAATATATTTAATATACCACTCACCCCTAATTTGAAGTTAGTTAGTATGATTTTGAATAAATATTGTTTCTTCTTGTTCAGTTAAATTAAATAAAACATTATAAAAATCATATAGAAAAGGACAAATGATATATATTTCCAAATAAGTGCATACTAAATTGAAATATATAACGTACAATCAATTCTTCGGTAAATAAATTTCAAATATTTACAAAGTCAATCTTAACGACAACACAAAAGTAGAAAAAAACTCCTCCTCATCAATTTTTCAATGGCTCAGAGTTCTGTAAACAGCAGCAGTGGAACAACAGCAGGTGGTGGTGCTGGTGGCAGCTCAATTTCAATGAAATCTGGTTCGCATAGTAATCTAACTGTGACTGGCAGTAGTACAAGTACACCTGTACGTATTGCTAGTTATCATGGTCATGTTTCGTCGTCAACGGGTAACGACTCACCGACACCATCATCGACGGCTAGTTTAATGCAACAACAAAGTCCACAGTATCAACAATCAAGTAGTGTGCCATCGTCAGCTGGTGGCGTTGGTGGTGGTGGTGGTAGTGTCGTTGGTCAATTGGGTCAAAGTTCAGCTTCATTAAATATGGGCATTTCGACACAGCAGCAACAACAATCAGCATCAACAAATGCCATGAGTACAAGTATAACACCACCAAATAGCGCTGGTTTACGTCAATCGGGTGGTAAGTTACAACAAAATCATGCAATTTTTTTTTACTTCCTATTATTTTTGTTTTATTTCTTATATTTTTTGTTATTTTCTTGCTCTCAAAAATTTACATGTTTTTCCAATTTGTTGAAATTTTATTTTATTTTCTTAACACTTAAGTTTGCGGTTTGTGTGTGTGTGTGTTTGTATTGCGAGGATTTTATTTAAAAGTTTACTCTTATGTATTTTAAGCAATACTCTACACCAAACTTATGTAGATTTTTTAGTTTCTAAAACATATCCTACGGGCACTAAAATTTAATTGAAATATTTAAAGAAACCCAATTCTGATACATTTTTTATTGTTTTATTGGTTCATTTAAAAAATCTTCAAACGAGCCGTTTTAAGGTTTCCAAATTAGATCGATATAAATCCGGTGTAGAGTATTTTTAAGACGATGTTTTACCTCTTTATAGTGGTTTTTATTTTTTTATTATTATTTTTAGTTTTGTGTTTTTCTTTTATACTACTACACACTTTTCCATCAATATAATAAACAAACATACCTCTTTTTACGAACCAACTATATATAATTTAAACCACAGATTGTGGTTTTATTACCTTTATCGATAACATCCGTTTCCTTTTGCTATATTTAATAAACAAAAATATTTGCTTTTCATAAAATTTTGAATTTCCGTTTACCATTATCCTTTAATATACATTATTGTAATCAATAGCTGATGAATTGCTATTCAATGGTTTAGATTACTAAACATTTTTTCCAATTCAAATGTATTATGCAAATTGTGCAGGTTTTTTTTCTTTAATTTTTTGTATTTAAAGCTTTGGATTCATGAACAAGTAGGGTTTTTGTTAATGGAAAACCGTCAATCAAGTTTACATATTACAGAATTTAATATTTAGGACACAAGTATACAGTTACGAGACCTAAAATATCAAAATGTGGAAAATTGGTGCGTGATACAAATATAATTTTCGGAATCACCACACCAAATAATACTGGGATTAGTGAAAACTATTACAAAAGCTTTTTCATCTATGGTTATTATTATTATTGAGTAACAAATTTCATGATTGATACGGAAAATCTTAATCATTATTAAGTAACATTACGGTGGCTTAAATTCAACCCGATCTAATTTCATTAGAAGTTCACTTATTATATTTACCAATAAATCAGAATATATGATGCAGAAATGTTCGTGAGGTCGAATAAAATAACCTTGTGAAAGTGAAATTTTGTGCACAAATTCAACGACAACTGTTATTCCCTGCAGAAAATGAAGCGATAATTGTCTTAATGCCACTAGTACTAATACTAGAACAACAGACACTAGTACAAATTGGGTTAGAGTTTATATGGAAAAATACTAGTACTAGAAGTAGTTGAATGGCGCCACTTGTAGACTGATTTTTGTTTGACATGTGTTGGTAAAAATAAATTTTTTAAATTATTAAAATATAATTTTGAAACATTTTGCATAAAAAACGATATTTTCATACATATCCCTTCAAATGAGAGGATAAATAGTGCATGCAAATTTAGGTCCAGTTGCAGCAAATCCCTATGTAAGTACGTCTATTAAATTTAAAAACTTCAATAAGTTTAATATTTATTTTATCGTACGGCAAATGTTTTTATAACCAATTGGAAATATATACCTGAAAGGAATTTTTGGACATAATGAAATCAATGATGGTGATACAGATAGAACCAGAATTTCTTCAAACTTTCATATTGAATTGTTAGGCAAATGTATTTACAACATTTTTTATTGTAATTTTTTTGTATCTTTTTAGAAATAAAACCTTATAAAAAACTAGTTGTGTAGTAATTTTCACTTGGAATTGTGCAGGAGGATTTCAAAAGAGCAAAACCACCAATTATGGCGAATTTTTATGAATATTAGAACTGGTTCTTAATAACCCAATTGGGTCCAAGTGTACTAGTATAAGTCTAGAACTAATGGTACTAGTAATTTTTCAAACACACTCAATGTTAATTTGAGCATTATGATGGTATAGGAAAGTTTACTGTTGAGAAATAGTACTGGTGATTTTGGTACTAGTAAAATACTAGTTTGGTACTAGTTCCATTTCCTGCAGGGTTGTGATTACGCCATAGTTCAAACTTATGATTTAAATAAGTCGGTGTGGGCTATTTCTGATATTTCACTTTAATTGGAACGATTTTTATCTTGAAATAAGGTATTTTAAGGGACATTTCTGTCAAATGATGTTAATTCTAATATTATGTGTGTATGAAGAATTCCATTTACATTTGTAAGATGATCATTACTTGCTTCATTTGGATAGATAGAGGATATTCTAGCAATTGGAATGTAAAGCGCTATGTGAAAATTTAATATTACATAATTACTTGAGTACATACAATGAATTGACTACATAAACTAATCCCTTTTTGAGTGATTTTATGTTTTTTGTATAAAACTTTTCATAGCATATACAAATTATACTATGCGTGTATTAATTTATTTATACTTTACAATACTTTTATACATAATATTTCTATATACTACATATCGTCACCTAAAACGCAAACGGCCCTATCTAACATTTTTAAAATTTTACAGGAGAAGCAAAAAACTATTCAAATTGAACAGTTTGTTTCTATCAGCGCGATTTATTTGTAGTAAATAAACAAATTGTTTAATAGTGAAACCTATCATTTGTAATGATAGTTGACAATGGCGTATATAAAAATGTATAAATTGGACTTTTTACCTTTAATATTTAAATGTTTTTGTAGATAGGGCCTTTTGTTTTTGTCATTAAAATCGCTAATTCTTGGTCGGAGGATTACAATTTTTTGTGTGGACATTTGTTTTGATGCAATAGATTAGAATCAACTATAAAATCGATTTTGAATTTTTGGTTAGTTAGGGCCGTTTGCGTTTCAGGTAACGATATTGTATGTAGATATATTTTGCGGTTATTACTTTTAATAGCAGTAATTAACCACATTCAACTGTAACTTGCAATAAAAATATAATTTCAAAATAAAAACGCATGCATCAGAACTTTAAATTAATTTTTCTTTGTAATATTTTAACAAATAATTTATACAATTTAAATTTTTATTTACATACATAGTATATTGCGTGCATATTCAATAAATACGAAATGAATGTGGTGGAACAAGAAATGCATTTAAACTTAAATTAAAGTATAACTAATGTCAAACCTTATTTAAAATCAGAGTCTGAACAGTCCAAAGATTCGTATATGAAAGGGAAAATATGCATTAATAAAGGTATTTCCTTTTAATTTTATAATATTAAATTAACTTCTGATCCCATTTAGACGTACGTATGTTTTTTTTTTTTGTGATATTTTTTAAGATTTTCTGGTTTGGGTTATTCAAAGTTTAGCTATAAAGCATCAATTACTTAACTTTCTTTCATTTATTTACATTTCTCTTAAAAATACTATTGATAGGAGAATATTAAAAAAATTGTTTGCAATAAATCTCTTTAGGTCACTTGAATGTTAAAAAGAAAAGTTCTTCACATAATATGCAAATATACCACAACTTTGTAATACAATAATTTACTATATTGAATATACATACATAATGGATTCAAAATATTTTCTGATTATAAATACGATTTTGCTTTTCATAAAAAAGTTTTTTTTTACCAGTTACCAAAGATTTGGCATACCGATTTTTGTATAATAAGTTTTATATAGAAAAGTTAATTTTTTAATAAGCTTTCTATAAAAAATAATCGTTCATCAAGTATTGCAGAGAAAACTTATCTTTGATTAAGATTTCAATAGAAGTCTTTGAACATATTACCTATTTAAGATAGAATTTTAAATAAGTTTTCAACAGAAAAGTGATCAAAGAATATTCCAAAAAAAAACTTCCAAAGAAGCTAAAAAGAAGTAGAATTTTCTCTACGAAGGTAATGGAAAATACCTGCAGAAAATATGATTTTACCACAAGCTTTTCTGAAGTCATTCTCAAGAAGTAATTTTTATTTTCGTTTTTGGAAGTTACCTATTTGCAAGTGAAATTTTAGAGCAAAAAAGGCCTATTTTGAAAAAAAATGAAGAAATAGTTATCTGAACCCCTTTGGACAATTTTCGCTAGGACCAATAGGTGAACAGTTACACTCATTTGAATAAAACCCTGTATGACCAAAATGTCCAACTTTGACCCCCTCTAAGTTAGGCAGTTCTTGAGCGATAGAGCTGAAAATTTGTTCCTAGCCTACTATACAATAGTACTAACCTTGATGCAAATTTCATCAAAATCGATTTCACTTGACACGAAATTACCCATATACATACATATCTTCAGCATTAAAAAATATAATTATTTTCGCTTATTCAGAAGTCATTAAACATCACTTCCACAGAATGTAGAAAAAATCACTTTGAACTGCTTTTGAAGTGTTGATAAATGTTATTCTTTTGGACATATTTCGTTTTATTTTTGCTGGGTATGTTTTCTATAGAAAACTGATCGTTAAGTAAGTTTTCTATAAAAAACTGATCGTTGAGTAAGTTTTCTATAGAAATTTGATCGTTGAGTATGTTTTCTATAGAAAACCGATCGTTGAGTAAATGTTCTATTGAAATTTGTTCGTTAAGTAAGTTTTCTATATAGAGTAAGTTTTGTATTGAAAAGTAATCATTGAATAGGATTTTTATAGAAAAGTGTTGGTTAAATAGGTTTTCTTCAACATACGTTAGGTATGTTTTCTATAGCAAACATATCATTAAATAAGTTTTCTATATAAAACTGATCCACAAATTATAGAAAATCAATTATTGAATTAATCTATAAAAAGTATCGCTATCATGAAAAAAGCGATTGTTAAAAATTTATGAATTTATGTGAACTTGAAAATAAAGTCAACCTATCACATTTAGTGTTTATAAACCGGTTAACCGAAAACCCGGTTTTTATTGCATATTTCGGTTTTTCGCAAACCGTTTTTTTTAAACATTGGGTTTTGGTTAACCGGGTTATCCGGTTT